GGATACCACCGGAAATGCCTTCAGACCCTACCGACATCGCTTGCCCAATGGACAACGATTTAGAACTACAGAAGATCAAAGATACAACCACATCGAATCCAGTCGAACTAGCAGGTCTCACAGACATCGACCCAAGATTACCCAAGTTCAGCAAGGGGCTATCAGCATCTTAAAGGAGTCAGAGACCACTCACGGGTTCTACTCCCCAGTATTCCAGCTACCTACGCTTTGCAGTCAACGGTCAGAGATACCAGTTCAGGGTACTACCATTCGGCATATCCTTAGCCCCATGGTTATTCACCAGGATCACCAATCCCATCATCGGTTTGCGCCCATATAAGCTCATAAAGCTTCTTGTATATAGACGATTTCCTATTGGCCGATCAGGACAAGCGCAATTAGTTTAAACACAGTGTGCCTCACTACTAACACTCTTAGGTTTCCTGGTTCACCCTCTAAAACAGAGCTAGTACCCACACAGGCATCACCTACTCAACAAGGGCATAGCAGCACCCCCAGAGGACAGATATGCAAGAGTAGAGCACATGATAACAAGCCCACTCGATCAGGCCGTCAAGTCGAGACGCTGGTGGATGTCTCGCCTATGCCCGCTCACATCTATCCAAGATTTAACCTACAGAGGCACAAGGTCTCAGCCTTTACTGAAGGAGGTTACATGTTTATATGCCTTGGTAGACTCAGTTAGTTGCAAGATCGAAGCAAGACACATACCGGGCAAGCTATATATCCTAGCAGATTACCTATTCCGGAAGAACAAGATAGTACCCACAGAATGGTCAGTACATCCCGAGGTGTTAAAGTGGATAACCAGCTATGGGACACTCCAAACCTAGATCTATTCGCCACATGTCTCAACAACAAACTACCAGTCTACGTCAGCCCGGTACCAGACCCACTAGCACTCCAAGTCGATGCGTTCGACATGGAATGGGAGGGAATGTTTGCATACACTTTTCCCTCATGGGCTCTCGTAGACAGAGTACTGAAGAAAATAGAGGAAACAGACTGTGTCATAATCCTCATAGCCCCGGCATGGCCGAAAAGGGCTTGGTTTCCGAGACTTCTACAATTTCTGGTAGAAGTAACTCTGAAACTCCCAGTACGTCACGACCTATTGAGACAACCAAAGCGGACATATTTTACGGCTGCTTCGACAACCTCCATCTTCACGCTTAGAAGTTATCTCGAATAAGATGCAAGCCACCGGTTACTCTAAATCAGCTGCACGAAGAGTGGCAAGCTCATGGAAACCAGCATCGTCTGCCCTATACAATTACAGATGGGGCAGGTTTGTCGAGCGGAGAATGAAAAAAGCAAATAATGGGAAATAACGATACCTATAGTGGCTGAATTCTTGCTCTATCTAAAAAACTACAAGAAATTACGACATCAGTATTATAGGTACGCAGGTACCCACCCAGTACTGAATCGACTTATAAAGTCCTTTGCCCTGGAAAAGACATTAAAGTACCACGTACTTCCCAAATGAGATCTAATTATAGTATTGTCAGCATTGATGAAAACACCATATGAACCCATGAGTAGTGCGACATTACTATTATCCCCAGGGAAACTGTTTTTTTTTTCTACTAGCCATGGCTACGGCGTCTCGTGTCAGAATTACACGCTATTGACACCTCCACTGTAACTCATACCCAAGAATGAAATCAGAGTCGTTTAGATCGCTCCCAGAATTATTGCCAAAAACCAGTCGTCAACCTTCGGCACACTCGGACAGGCAATATACAATACCAGCCTTAAGTAAAAGTGTGGACTTCCCGGATAGATTGATCTGTCCCATAAGAGCCTTGAGATACTTCATTACAGCAACTCAACCCCACAGAAAGCAGAGAAAATGCCTCTTTATCTCTTGCAAGCCCTCGTCAGAAAAGGACATCACAGAGCGCACTGTAGCGGGATGGCAAATCAGTTATCATAGATAGCTATAACTGGCACAAATCTCCACGCCGAGTTTGGGAAACTGCAGGCCTCACGAGATCAGAGCCCTTGCAACAAGTCTAGCCACATGGAATACAGTATCCATTGAACAAGTTGTAGCCAGCTGCCAGTGGTAGTCCCACAACACTTTTCAAACTTTTACTTACGAGACATACAGACCGATCTAAAGACTATACACTCTGGGGCCCTCGGGGCTGACCCAGGTGATAGTCGCCAAGTAACCTTGTTCCCCTTTCCTCTTCCGGGGGGGGTGTGTGTGTGTGTGTGTGTGTGTGTGTGTGTGTGAAGATTTCAGAAGTACCTCATGAACTCAGGGTAAGTTGTCTTTGTCACTGGACTGCGCTACTGAGTTAGTAAAGCAGGGCAAATGGCAACACTGAAATCAGAGATCGAAGGATTAAGTGATATACGGTAATCTACATGATAGGAAACATCAATGTACTACCACCGGAAGTGACGTCATAGGAGTCATCACACCGGACTAACGTCAAGATACATTAAATATCACTATCCAGAAGGGCATAACGGTAAACCACGTCATAGTGATACGAGAATATAGTAGACATATACCACAAGAGGCATGGTATGACACCGGAAGTGACGTCACAGATGACGTCATCACCGGAAGTTACGTCACAGATGACGTCATCACCGGAAGTGACGTCACATATGACGTCATCACAGGAAGTGACTTCATACTATGTCTAAGTATCACAAGGGAATATACATATACCCCTCATATGACGTTTTGAAAATTCTATACGTCTAAGTCTTGGAAGTAGACTATTAGAAACATCCGTTTTAGATCCCCTTTTGGCATATAATCCTTGGTTTTACCACTCCACTAGCCAATAACTAAGGGATGCTAGATACCAGAACCCGCCGGTCCCTCTGGTATATACTGGCACTGATGTGATAGAGGTGAGGTATTCACAAGAATTATCAAACAATAGTTATCATTGTAAATAATTCTAAGAATACCACCTCTATCACATCAGGAATTAATCCCTCCCACCTCCCCAAATATCTGCATCTAGTTGATGAGAGTAATGGGTTGAAAGAAGTGACTAGATTCCCGCCTTGCGCATGCGTGGTGGCGCCTCTGGCAAGGGATACGGTTTCCCTCACAACTATGGATATGTTGGCAGTGTGGTGGACGTCTGTTGAAAATTTATAAAAAATTTATAGTGTGGTTCTCAGCATAAACAGGAATTTATGGCACTGATGTGATAGAGGTGGTATTCTTAGAATTATTTTCAATGATAACTATTGTTTGATTTTGATGGATTTCATGGCGTTATATATGAACTCTGGTAATTATATATAATTTGAGTTTTCAGATGCCATTAATCAGTCAAATATAAGGACTAGTTCAAAAGTTTTGACCCTACCCCCGACCCACCCCCAACAATAAACTTAATTCTGAAAATGTTAAATTCCTGAGTTTAGTGGCTTATATTGTCTCACATTCTTGTGCCCCCATTTTCTGAACATTTATCCACTGAAATTTATTCAATGTGTGTTTTTTAGAGGTCAAATCTGGCATAATGCTCTGAACCAGTTTACCACTGCTGTCTGCAATGACAAAACCCTATCTTGTGGAACGACTGGATTAATTCAAAGACAACGCCAAACTGCATTAGAATATAAATAGGGTTGGCTCAGTTTAGTTGCTATAATAAAACACAGAGGAATCAGGTGAGTTGATTTTGTCGAATGGAAAACTTGCAGAGCCAATAACCCCTCTCCACGTCCCCCAAAAAGTAAGGAATAAAAATTTGTATCTGACATTTTGAACTGGTCCCTAAATGTAGGTAACAAATTAAATTGAAATTATCATCAAATATTTCCTCATCTCAAAACCAGTGACACTAAACACAAGTGTGATAATCATTATATACAATATTATTCATGAACAAACAAGAAAATCCCTGAGATTTATAACCGTGGCAACAGGATAATAAGAAAATATTTGATGCATTAACAACACATGTATATAGAGACAGTGTAACAGCACCACTTGTCATGTTTGCCCATCATGACAACCAGTCTCATTAAAAACAATTCTTTTACTTCAAAACCCTACTTTTGTGTCATTTGAGGTGAGGTGAAATGGGGGTTTAACGTCACGTCCAAGATAATTGCACTTATATAGCGACATGTATGCACATGTGTGTGTGTGGCTGTGGACTGTTGCTGATTTATAGTGCTAGCACTGAGATACCATACCACAGTTTAACATGAATACCCCACTCAGACACAGAATACTGACTCCGAGCCGACAAGTTCTTGTTTTAGCCCCTAATGACCAGCAGCAGACAAGCACCATCTTTTAACGTCTTTCGGTATGACGCGGCTGGGGCTCTCTGGGCGGACGCTCTACCACTAGACCACAGAGGCAGTCTGAATGCATAAGTAAATGCTGTTTCATGTACAGGTAAAAACTTTCTAAAACTATTCGGCTTCATTTCTTTACCATCTGGATTCAGAAAGTTCTATATTGTCTAAACACTTCGCACAATTGTACCGAGAATTAAAACGCCTTGACGTTGGTAGATATAGCTACAATGAAACTGCATTACTTGGCTTTTCAGACTAATGTGACATCATCTGTTACCATGACATCATAATCAAATGACATCATTAATCTCTCTGCAAACTGAAGCCTGTTCACTGTACTTTCTTACACTCAGGACACTGGTTATTACAAACAGAAATGGGAGCATGATTATGGATGATAAATAGAAATCCCCGCTTGTGTCTTTTGACATCAAACCGGGATGCTTAGGAGTTCGAAAGTTTCATCAAGTTGATTTGTATGATATCAAAAAGATGCTTGGGTGAGATTCTCAATGCATCATTCAATTTTCAACTGGGTTCAGATGTATAGTCAAAATATGTGAAAAAGGCTGAACCAAAGAAATCAAAAGTTCTGCTTTAGTAGGTGACCTTTGTGGGAAGAGAGCTCAAGTGATAGAGCAGTTATAGACATTTACCACTTTGTGAAACCCATGGTGCTGACAAACAAGAAAACGGATAATATGAGATTCAAACCAATGACAATAAAATTCTGGCTTGCCTCAGAGATGCAATGGTGCTCAGTGAATTGTGGCACCTTAGATGATCAGAGAACCTGTGCCCCCTCATTTTGAATTTACCGTATTCGACGTAATAATAAGCACCCACAGCGATATTTGCTAATATATACATTGGCTAGTGAACAAGCCAAATTAGCACCCCTTCCGATTGATCAATGTACACAAGAATTATTTATTCTTGTATAACATGTGTGTTATATGCATCCTTAATTATGGGCAATTCAATTCTGGAAAAATATATAAACATTTCAGGCTGTCAGCATAAACCACGTAATTTACGATGTTTCAACTCTGTTATTTTTCACTAAAATAATATTCTAATAAGATCCCCCTTTTTCTAATTTTGAGAGCGCCCTGGGCGCTTATTATGTCGAATACAGTACTTGAAGGATACACCCAGTTCCCATCTCATACAGCATCCCTTCTGCAGGATAATACTTCAACCACTGTCTGATATTCTTGTTTGTTGTTTAACGCATCAATATTCCAGCTATGAGGTGGCAGTTTGTAAATAATCTCTAGACGAGACGAGACGAGCCAGTGATTGACATCATGAACATCGATCCAAGCAAGTTTGATATGACGTAAACTCAACAAAGTCAGTGATCCCGACAACCCAATTTTGATTGGGATCTATATTCTTACCCAGAATCCCTACAAAGAGACAGACGGCAAGAAGCATGGTCTATGGGGAACATAAATCTAGACTTGGAAAGGATTTCATTGACGCTTATCTAAACGATTGACTGTATGTAGGTCAATGTTCAGCACTATTTCTTCTTCTTCCTCCATCTCTTTAAAGAAAATGGGAAGCATGTGTTTTTTCTCTTTGATTTCTGTTTCATCACATCCTGAAAGAAAAAGGCCCAACATAACGAATAATTGTTACTTTTCAAAAGGAACCTAAAATGTTATTGCTAACTGGTATACAGCAAAGTACATACCAGTGTGCGCGTGCGTGCGTGCTTGTACTAGTCCAGACCAATGCTGGTTTTTTAGTGTTTGCCATCTGTGATGGTACAAGTATCATCTTTTAAAGCCTTTTAGTGTGGTGGTCTGTGAACGTTAAATTGCATCATTCAAGAATTATCTCCCTCTTTCCACTTTCACCTTGAAACAAAATGTCTGTATGACACCCACAAGAAACAGGTGCTCAGACTGAATGAAGGGTCCTCACCTCTGACGAATCTGACTTGTCATCGGCACAATCTTCTCCACAACCAGTCTCTGATAAACACAAATCTGTAATGTTAAAAAAATCCTAACACTTTTCAAAGAAGTCAGAAGCAAAATGGCGTTACACCTATCATGATATCACGCAGTGTGTGAAAGAGTTTTACACAAGTCATGATATCACTCAGCGAGTGAAAGGATTTTACGCCAGTCATGATATCAGTCAGCGAGTGAAAGGGTTTTAATCCAGTCATGATATCACTCAGCAAGTGAAAGGGTTTTAATCCAGTCATGATATCACTAAGCGAGTAAAAGCATTTTACACAAGTCATGATATCACTCAACAAGTGAAAAGGTTTTACCCCAGTCATGATATCACTCAGCGAGTGAAAGGATTTTACGCCAGTCATGATATCATTCAGCGAATGAAAGGGTTTTACAGCAGTCATGATATCACTCACCAAGTGAAAGGGTTTTAATCCAGTCATGATATCATTCAGCGAGTGAAAGGGTTTTACACAAGTCATGATATCCCTCAGTGAGTGAAAGGGCTTTAATCCAGTCATGATATCACTCAGCAAGTGAAAAGGGTTTTACACCAGTCATGATATCACTCAGCGAGTGAAAGGGTTTTACACCAGTCATGATATCACTCAGTGAGTGAAAGGTTTTACACCAGTCATGATATCACTCAGTGAGTAAAAGTTTTTCACACCAGTCATGGTATCACTCACTGAGTGAAAGGGTTTAACACCAGTCATATCACTCAGTGAGTGAAAGGTTTTACATCAGTCATGATATCCCTCACTGAGTGAAAGGGTTATACACAAGTCATGATATCACCAAGTGAGTGAAAGGATTTTACACAAGTCATGATATCTCTCAGTGAGTGAAAGGGTTTTACACAGGTCATGATATCCCTCAGTGAGTGAAAGGGTTTTACACCAGTCATGATATCACTCAACAAGTGAAAAGGTTTTACCCCAGTCATGATATCACTCAGCGAGTGAAAGGATTTTACGCCAGTCATGATATCAGTCAGCGAGTGAAAGGGTTTTAATCCAGTCATGATATCACTCAGCAAGTGAAAGGGTTTTAATCCAGTCATGATATCACTAAGCGAGTAAAAGCATTTTACACAAGTCATGATATCACCAAGTGAGTGAAAGGATTTTACACAAGTCATGATATCACCAAGTGAGTGAAAGGATTTTACACAAGTCATGATATCACCAAGTGAGTGAAAGGATTTTACACAAGTCATGATATCCCTCACTGAGTGAAAGGGTTTTACACAAGTCATGATATCACCAAGTGAGCGAAAGGATTTTACACAAGTCATGATATCCCTCAGTGAGTGAAAGGGTTATACACAAGTCATGATATCACCAAGTGAGTGAAAGGGTTTTACACAGGTCATGATATCCCTCAGTGAGTGAAAGGGTTTTACACCAGTCATGTTATCTCTCACCGAGTGAAAGGGTTTTAATCCAGTCATGATATCACCCAGTGAGTGAAAGGGTTTTACACCAGTCATGATATCCCTCAGTGAGTGAAAGGGTTTATCACAAGTCATGATATCATTCAGCGAGTGAAAGGGTTTTACACAAGTCATGATATCACCAAGTGAGTGAAAGGATTTTACACAAGTCATGATATCCCTCAGTGAGCGAAAGGGTTTTACACAAGTCATGATATCCCTCAGTGAGTGAAACGGTTTTACACCAGTCATGTTATCTCTCACCGAGTGAAAGGGTTTTAATCCAGTCATGATATCACCCAGTGAGTGAAAGGGTTTTACACCAGTCATAGTATCTCTCACCGAGTGAAAGGGTTTTACCCCAGTCATGATATCACTCAGCGAGTGAAAGGATTTTACGCCAGTCATGATATCAGTCAGCGAGTGAAAGGGTTTTAATCCAGTCATGATATCACTCAGCAAGTGAAAGGGTTTTAATCCAGTCATGATATCACTAAGCGAGTAAAAGCATTTTACACAAGTCATGATATCACCAAGTGAGTGAAAGGATTTTACACAAGTCATGATATCACCAAGTGAGTGAAAGGATTTTACACAAGTCATGATATCCCTCACTGAGTGAAAGGGTTTTACACAAGTCATGATATCACCAAGTGAGCGAAAGGATTTTACACAAGTCATGATATCCCTCAGTGAGTGAAAGGGTTATACACAAGTCATGATATCACCAAGTGAGTGAAAGGGTTTTACACAGGTCATGATATCCCTCAGTGAGTGAAAGGGTTTTACACCAGTCATGTTATCTCTCACCGAGTGAAAGGGTTTTAATCCAGTCATGATATCACCCAGTGAGTGAAAGGGTTTTACACCAGTCATGATATCCCTCAGTGAGTGAAAGGGTTTATCACAAGTCATGATATCATTCAGCGAGTGAAAGGGTTTTACACAAGTCATGATATCACCAAGTGAGTGAAAGGATTTTACACAAGTCATGATATCCCTCAGTGAGCGAAAGGGTTTTACACAAGTCATGATATCCCTCAGTGAGTGAAATGGTTTTACACCAGTCATGTTATCTCTCACCGAGTGAAAGGGTTTTAATCCAGTCATGATATCACCCAGTGAGTGAAAGGGTTTTACACCAGTCATAGTATCTCTCACCGAGTGAAAGGGTTTTAATCCAGTCATGATATCATTCAGCGAGTGAAAGGGTTTTACACAAGTCATGATATCCCTCAGTGAGTGAAAGGGCTTTAATCCAGTCATGATATCACTCAGCAAGTGAAAAGGGTTTTACACCAGTCATGATATCACTCAGCGAGTGAAAGGGTTTTACACCAGTCATGATATCACTCAGTGAGTGAAAGGTTTTACACCAGTCATGATATCACTCAGTGAGTAAAAGTTTTTCACACCAGTCATGGTATCACTCACTGAGTGAAAGGGTTTAACACCAGTCATATCACTCAGTGAGTGAAAGGTTTTACATCAGTCATGATATCCCTCACTGAGTGAAAGGGTTATACACAAGTCATGATATCACCAAGTGAGTGAAAGGATTTTACACAAGTCATGATATCCCTCAGTGAGTGAAAGGGTTTTACACAGGTCATGATATCCCTCAGTGAGTGAAAGGGTTTTACACCAGTCATATTATCTCTCACCGAGTGAAAGGGTTTTAATCCAGTCATGATATCACCCAGTGAGTGAAAGGGTTTTACACCAGTCATAGTATCACTCAGTGAGCGAAAGGTTTTACATCAGTCATGATATCACTCAGTGAGTAAAATGTTTTTACACTAGTCATGATATCACTCAGTGAGTGAAAGGGTTTAACACCAGTTATGATATCACTCAGTGAGTGAAAGTTTTTAACACCAGTCATATCACTCACTGAGTGAAATGGTATAACACCAGTCATATCACTCAGTGAGTGAAAGGTTTTACATCAGTCATGATATCACTCAGTGAGTAAATTGTTTTTACACCAGTCATGATATCACTCAGTGCGTCAAAGGGTTTAACACCAGTCATGATATCACTCAGTGAGTAAAAGTTTTTCACACCAGTCATATCACTCAGTGAGTGAAAGGGTTTAACACCAGTCATATCACTCAGTGAGTGAAAGGTTTTACATCAGTCATGATATCACTCAGTGAGTAAATTGTTTTACACCAGTCATGATATCACTCAGTGAGTGAAAGGGTTTAACACCAGTTATGATATCACTCAGTGAGTGAAAGGTTTTACACCAGTCATGATATCACTCAGTGAGTATTTTTTTTTACACCAGTTATGATATCACCCAGTGAGTGAAAGGGCTTTACACAAGTCACGTTAACGCCCAATGAGTGAAAGGGTTTTACACCAGTCATGATATCATTTCAGCTATTTCATGTATGCTCTAACCTGGATTGCTCTGCAAAATCTATTGTTTATGTTTTAATGTGTCATGAAGAATACATTGGACAATTGGAGTACAAAATGCACATCCACAGCACACACTGACATTTGTTTTGTAACAGTGAGGGTGATCACAGAATCAGTGGATACTCTGGTTTTTATCCAGGCATGATGTCATTCAGCGAGTGAAAGGGTTTTACACCAGTCATGATATCATTCAGCGAGTGAAAGGGTTTTACACCAGTCATGATATCCCTCAGCGAGTGAAAGGGTTTTACACCAGTCATGATATCACTCAACAAGTGAAAAGGTTTTACCCCAGTCATGATATCACTCAGCGAGTGAAAGGATTTTACACCAGTCATGATATCAGTCAGCGAGTGAAAGGGTTTTAATCCAGTCATGATATCACTCAGCAAGTGAAAGGGTTTTAATCCAGTCATGATATCACTAAGCGAGTAAAAGCATTTTACACAAGTCATGATATCACCAAGTGAGTGAAAGGATTTTACACAAGTCATGATATCACCAAGTGAGTGAAAGGATTTTACACAAGTCATGATATCCCTCACTGAGTGAAAGGGTTTTACACAAGTCATGATATCACCAAGTGAGCGAAAGGATTTTACACAAGTCATGATATCCCTCAGTGAGTGAAAGGGTTATACACAAGTCATGATATCACCAAGTGAGTGAAAGGGTTTTACACAGGTCATGATATCCCTCAGTGAGTGAAACGGTTTTACACCAGTCATGTTATCTCTCACCGAGTGAAAGGGTTTTAATCCAGTCATGATATCACCCAGTGAGTGAAAGGGTTTTACACCAGTCATGATATCCCTCAGTGAGTGAAAGGGTTTATCACAAGTCATGATATCATTCAGCGAGTGAAAGGGTTTTACACAAGTCATGATATTACCAAGTGAGTGAAAGGATTTTACACAAGTCATGATATCCCTCAGTGAGCGAAAGGGTTTTACACAAGTCATGATATCCCTCAGTGAGTGAAACGGTTTTACACCAGTCATGTTATCTCTCACCGAGTGAAAGGGTTTTAATCCAGTCATGATATCACCCAGTGAGTGAAAGGGTTTTACACCAGTCATAGTATCTCTCACCGAGTGAAAGGGTTTTACCCCAGTCATGATATCACTGAGCGAGTGAAAGGATTTTACGCCAGTCATGA